GTTAGAGAATGCCACTAGGCATTAAGTCCGCCGTTGTATATCTACAAAAAGTGTAAATAAAAAAAAAAAAAAATAAATAAATAAAATCGGTGCTCGAGCGACTTCGACGTATGTTTGATTCCGTCCACTTCTCGGGGAGAACTCCAAGGGTATGGAGCAGGAGTTTTGTCGTTATGTTCTTAAAGAAAGAAGACAAAACCCTCTTGAAGAACTATCGACCTATTTCCCTTCTGAACCATGACTACAAGCTGTTTTCCAGAGTCATCACTAACCGTTTCGCGTGAAGACTCGATGACTTTCAGCCCCCTGAGCAGGCTAGGTTCCGAGGAGGATATGGCATCATAGACCACATACATACAATGAGGCAGGTTATACAGAAGACTGAAGAATATAATCTGCCCTTGTGCCTAGCCTTTGTGGACTACGAGAAAGCCTTTGACTCTATTGAAACTTTGGAATGTATTGTTCGGATCAGTTTCATGGGATATTACCACATAAGGTATTTACGTACTTGCAGGTTAAGCAGTTACGTATTTTTACATACAATATTTTGGTGTGTACTGAGGACATTAAATACTTTCACCTCAATTATCGCATTGGTAGGAGATGTTGGTCTTACTCCGCAACCTAAATCAATAAATAAATTCACATACTCCTAGCGTAGCATGAATGAAATGTGTGGATACCAAGGACTGGAATAAAGACATACAAAGAAGTTGAAAATACTCACTACGCACTAAGACCAAACAGTCATTTTAAATATATTTTGATGTTTATTTACCTGTTTTATTAGCTTCTTTTTTAAAAATGCTTTTACCTTCTATTTTTTAAATTTTAAAATTAAAGTAAATTAATGCTAAAAACATAATTTTGTATAGCCAAATAACTGTACAGCATTATGTGGTTTAGATACTATGGGTTAGCATAAGACTGCAGGTACACTGCCCACATATTCAGTTGCATGCTTGAACTTATTATCTCTGAACAAATGTGATAAGAACAAATAAAAAAAGATGAACAAATCTTACTTTGTATGTATTTCCTCCCACGCTTTCATCTTGATTTTGTTGGTATTTGTGCTTAGTGATTTATTCTCAATAATTTGAAAATATAGTTTAAGGACAGAACGAAGTAATTGCTAAAACCATGAAAACAGTATGAAGAGATTTTTTCTTTGTTAAGACACTTTCTTATTCGTTCCATCTATCTATACATATAATAAAATTGTAGAAAAGTGCTGTCTGTACATTGAAAATAAAAATAAAAAAGATAGCAGGGGCTATTGTTATGTCGATGTCGAACCCAAAAATGTAACTAACTTTTTTTTTGTCTGTTTGTCTGTTTGTCTGTTCACGCTAATCTCAGAAACGGCTTATCCGAGTTGGATGCGGTTTTCACGAATATATTGTGGTATGCTTCAGTTATGCTTTAGTGTTTGTTTCATGTCAATCGGTTCATAAATAAAAAAGTTACGTCAAATTAAAGAATCACGTCGAACACTATCTATCTATCTATATATATATATAATAAAATTGTAGAAAAGTGCTGTCTGTACATTGAAAATAAAAATAAAAAAAATAGCAGGGGCTATTGTTATGTCGATGTCGAACCCAAAAATGTAACTAACTTTTTTTTTGTCTGTTTGTCTGTTTGTCTGTTCACGCTAATCTCAGAAATGGCTTATAAATATATATATATTTAACAGGGTGCGGAAAAGGTGATAGTGGTTTTATTCCTCAGATTCCTCTCATTCCAAAAAATTTTCCGTTTAATTTTAAACGAATTCAGTTTCCAGTGAGCCTATGTTTCGCCATGACAATTAATAAAGCTCAAGGTCAGACTCTAAAAGTTGTGGGTATAGATCTAAGTATCAGCTGTTTTTCGCACGGTCAATTGTATGTGGCTCTGTCCCGTGTTAGCAATCCCAGCAGCCTGTATGCTTTCACCCCCGATGGCCATACGTCTAATATTGTATATAGAGAAGCATTACAGTAAAGTAGAGAAGCATTACAGTAAAATGACTGTGATTATGATCCAAATCTAAAATAAAAATAAGTATATATTTAAAAAAAACGCTGCTCATAGTCACTATTCTACGCGAACGAAGTCGCGGGCACAGCTAGTTTCCAATAAGAGCGTTTTATTAATAAGACCGATTACTATGTAGAAATATCAATTTGGAGACTTAATTTGATGACAATAATGTTCTACGATCATTGAGTACCTGACCAGTCGCCGAAAAAACGCATTCGCATGGAACAGATATTGCAACGACGCAAAACCTCTGAAACATGAGAGTATATGTGACGACGCTCATCCCACCATAAAAGCGGATCTTCTTTTCGGTTTAAATACTCTTCATTAAGGTATTTATCCAGTTCACGAATTCAAGCAGCAAGTCGGTTATCTGGCCTAGTAATTGTGTTTATTTCTTGATCATATTCGTCCCATATGCTTTTATTGTTATTGTCACTGGAGACAGAGACAGATACCGAATAGCTGTTAGAAGCAGGAACAACGTCTTGATTATCTTGGTTTTTCCTTTGAATTATTAATCGACCGATTTTATTTCTGAGCGCCTGTAATGCGAATTAACCAGCTCTTTAATATTTAAACATCAATCTAAAGTATCTCCAGAATTGTACACTCACTCAGCGTAAAGAACATGTTGTTCTATATCTTTAAAAACGTACATCTATTCCTGTCTTTAATACTGATTGCATAGCAATTATTTTGGTACAAGTAGATACATGTATGTGCAAATTTTATTTAAGAATATTGCAAAAAAATATTACTTTAGACAAAGTAACATTCTTTTCGACACTGATCTAACACACACATAACTGTTGAACAGTTATTTCATAGAATGGACTAAGTAAAACTTCTTCTATTATCTCCCAGTCACCTTCATTTAAAATTATGTCCGGATGTAGAAGCGCAATCGTAGTAATAACTGCATCCTTAATTTAACTATTCTATTGAGCATATTATAATATGTAGAATTCTAGCGGGTTTGTACATGCTGTTTAAGCTTGAGAATCCCACATAACCAAATGACCTTTCAATACCATCTTGACCAGTTGTTTGTCAATTTTCTCAACTTTTCGAATTGGCGCCGGTATGCGAATACTAATTCATTGATTGTTGGGTGTCGACTGTACTTGATGGTACTGAAATTATTTTGTCCGATTCACGTGTGCCTTGGTTTGGTTGAAGTGTGTTTAAATCAGGTAATACCGTCGTTTGTCGTTCTACAATTAATAGAATCAAAGCCATACTCACCTCATCTACCTTCTACAGATATGTATAATATTGGTTTTCTATTTATTTAATAAGTCCTATAATATTTATTAGGTATATATTGCGGTTTTTTGTGAGTTGTTGCAGCCGGTCAAATATTTTTATTTCAATATTTGTATTTGAAGCGTATGGAAATGGTAATTTGTACACTAGTACAGAATGTCGACCCGTCAAAAGGTGGGCTTGCAAATCTTACAAAACGTACAAGGCTAGGGGCTCTTAATTCCAGTTAATTTACGTCTTAAAATGAACTGCCTTACTTATCATGTGACACTTGACCAATTTGTATCACTTAACTGGAAGTTAGCTTCTGTTCCCCCAAAAGGAGCCACTACAGTTTTTACGAATATACTCTGTTAGTGAAGACGACAGACAAGTTGAGTTGAGCAGTAATACAAAACAGGCCACTTGATTGGACGCATTTATATTAATATTGTCTATGCCTATTTTTACGTAAAAATATAAAACAGTGTGCTAATGGTTATCTGCAGTTTGGCTTATTCCCGTATAATAATCTATGTATATAAAAAGAAATCCTTTTTTCTCTTGGTCACGGCGTCACGCATGAATGACTGGATCAATTTCACTAATTCTTTCTTTGTTATATTTGTTATTATTAGGAGAAGGTTCTTATGACAGAAAAAAATCTGAAAGTCCTACGGGAACGGAAGAAAACGGGCAGAAGTAGTTTATTATATTTAATAATTGGCGACGAGATTTTTACCCTCATAATAAAATTATTAATCGGCGATAGGCGTCGAAAAACAATGACTCAATTAGCTGAAAGAAAGTCTACAAGTGGCCACATTGCTCAGTATAATCAACCTACATCAAATGAAGTGACTTTAGTTATTATTATTAGGAGAATTTGAGCTAAATTGTTGTATTCTCTTTTAGTTTACATGCCCATAAATGCCAAGCAGTATAAAAGCTTTTTTTGTTTCATTGAGTTGACTGACATAACTGCACTGCTTATACATTTCAGGCTGTTGGCTTCAATGCATCCTCAATTGTAAGTATAGTAACCACATAATATTCCTCGCTTAATTCAAAACGCAATTCTCTCTATTGTAATAAAATGTATTTTTAACTTACCTATATGATAAATAGGAATTCATGCATCCATGCATTTCGAGAAAAGAATAGCTACGGCGCAAATAAACAATAGTCTTAGGCAACTGGAATCTTGTCCGGGAGTTTTGAATTTATAAATTTTGATGTGCTCTAATCGATTACCATTTTGCACCCTCGTACGGGCACCGCTCGCGCCGACTTCTTAATAAAATGGCGGCCATAACGTATTTTTGCAATATCTCTTTTCCTGTGCATTTTACGAGAAAAACGTTGAGTACAGCGGTAAGTCCTCTCTTAGAAGAATGATTTGAGAGACATGGAAGTCTCGGTAAGTTTCTGTTTCTGGTTGGACGGCCCGAAACGCCCGGAAGTCATCACGGCGAGGACCGCCCGGAATACACGGTGAAACCTACAGTGGCAGTGTGCCCAGCGTGGACTGAGTATCGCCACACAGTGGCGTAAAACAGGCTGCTAAGGGACTTAGCAATTAAAAATATATATATTTTGATTTGATTTTTTTACTTTTGTTCGATTTATCTATCGATTATAAAAAACTATCGATTTTCATAATTATTTTAGTATGAAACAAAACAAAAGATGCAGAAAGTCTTGGAATTTGCAATTTTTCTCACAGCATTGACTTAATGTGTGCTTAGTTCGAATATTTGTCCTATTTTAGCGCCTTGTCTGAAGACTCAATTTTCCCCGATTTAGAAGCAACTTCAATTTATTCCACACTACCGTGTAAATAAACTGTAAATGGGCGCGTTTTTAGTAGTGGTGTCACCCTTAGGCCTAATCCACTAATGGCCACACTCCAAGTTGTTAATCAACCATCACAATATCTTCCCTTAGTATAGATTTGCTAGGTGAAATGTATACTAAAGAAAGACGGAATGGTTGATAACGACTCTGAGAGTGGCCATGAGTTCTGGTAAAATAAGTAAATATCACAATCTAGTGATTGTGACTACTAGTCACTGTTTTATTTCCTGCTCAACTGCTCAGGGAAATAAGGATTGCAGGGAAATTAGGAGATTTAAGAAAGAATATTATTCATCTTAGTGGGAGTGGCTTCACAAACGTATAACCCTAAAGCCTTACTCGGAGAAAACGTAGGTTTTGTTTGTTTAAGAAATATGCACTATTTTCTTTTTTCACACCTTGGTCAATGTTAAGTAATTTGTTTAGTATTCCAGCAATCTCTGTATCTGCTTTTAATTACGCATAATATGCATATTTTATTTTATTCGAAGACATGGGAAAATTTTTTGCTCGTCTTTTTTTCTGTTTAGGAGCTAATTCACAAAAATATTATTTTAGGTTTTGCTCGGTGGAGACACCGATAGAAACTTTTGTTGGTTACACAAACTAAGTTGATGTACTGGGTGATCTTAATTTCTGTTGTTTCTGTTTACAAAAATAAACAAAAAATGTCTTACGCTTTAGTGTGTTTTACCCTCATTTTATTTACGTAAAAATATTTCACTAAACAAAAAGTCTCATAATTGTTTAAATAAATATATATTTTCAGACAGTTGGGGATTTGTCCACCGTGGAGGTAAGTAATAACAAAACAGATCAGATCAGACAAAAAAGACTATAAAAGCTGATAGCAACCATAAGAGATACAAGAAGCAAAAGAAGACACCAAAAATATCTCCTTTGTACCACAGCTCCAAAGGTGTGTGTGTTACCAGCCTTTTAGGGAGTACCTTCTTTTCTAGAAGGTTTGATTTTGGTTCGGTACCCTGGGTAGGAATACACTGGAGAGAGTCGACTGAAACTATCCGGAAGTGGGTAGTTTCTGAGGTTTTCAGCAATGCCGGTTGTTTATTGTGTGCTAAAATAAATAGTTGTACCAGTTGACTGAGTTTATATCTGCTACAAGTTTTCGCCCTTTGTCCACCAACAAAAACAAATAACATAATTATAGGCCCCGATTCTAACAAATAGGTATGATTCTTCTTCATCGTCATCATCTGCTTGTTATTGTGCAGGCTTCTTCTCACACAGAAAAGAAGTGAGCATCAATTGCCAGGCTTGCAAGGATATTTGTCGATTCCAATCTTATAATTTGAACTTCAAATCCAATTTGTCGATATTTAATTTTAATTATAATCAACACGATAGGAAAAGCAATCAATTATATATTTTGATTACTGTTTTTTGTTTACATCACAGTGCTATGGACCATTCTGCACAGCTGCTGTATGTAATTTTAAATGTCTATTTATCTGCATGTGTTCCTAAAACAATTGATATTGTAATCAAAAAGTCGTAGAGCACCGAGAATTTTTCAGGTTTTTTAAAATGTTTATAAATGGTACACTATATGCCCCATATCAGACTCCTACAACAGCTCCATCGAAAGGTTGTCTGTACAATCAATCATCAATGGGCGGTCATATCGCAATAAGGCCGCTCATTGTACACTATTTTTTTGTCCTATGTGTTTTTGTGGTACACAATAAAGTGGTTATAAATAATAATAAATAAATATATATACTTCAGAAAAGCTTTGATAACTAATATACCTCAATCTTACAAGATATTAACGTGTGCGTAACATCTTACGCCATCTTACCATAAATGTAGATGATCCCATCGGATCGATCCGATGGGATCATCTACATACTAAAGGATACATGTCCATACTAAAGGAAATTTGTCCGTCAACACCTAAAAACACTGATCGCGATCTTCAACAATCTCACTGGACCCTCTGTTACGAAAGCCGACGGTAGACGAAAATAGGACAAGATGGAAGGAAAAATTTCAAGGGTACGACTTTCAGAAATGAAGCAAACGATCGAGAAGATATAAATGATACTCAATCCAAATGACGCTACATATTTAATATTATGTAGTTCAGTGATATCTTTTTTATAATAACTATCGTGAGACATTCTAAATTAACTAAAAATCGTGGGTTACTCATGTGAATATACTGAGAAAAGGTCTACTAGTTTTGAATCACAGAAGGGTTCTTCCTCATAAGCAGTGTGTGCGGTCGCGGCGATTTTCTCAGTATATTCACGTGAGTAACCCGCGATTTTTTTAAGACAATTTAGTCGAATGATGTTCAATATAAAGCCAATTTTTCACCAATACTAACAAAAACTATTTTTAGTGCGACGGTGTGACCAACGTTTGTATGTCAAAAGTAAGTAGATAATATTATGTAATTAAAGTAATATGTATGAATATAAAATACCATTTTAAGACCTTTAAATGATTAATTATAAAATATTGGAGAAAATAATAATGCATTATTTTCTAGTTTTCCATTATTTTGACTGTACTAATAATAGGTACTCAGCGACACGGAATCTTGGCCAAGCGCATATTCTGCTATAACAAGACAATTGAGTGTTTCTCAAGATTGTTTAATATGAATAGAGGTACAAAAGATTTACACCACTTTAATAAATAATACCATTATTGTTTTAGTGTGTCGGACGCAGTTGTGAAGCACTTGTAAGTATTTTATTAATCTCCTAAGCACGAGTGCTGGATTTTTACTGTAGATAACGCTTAGAACTGTTCAAAATATCGTTTTCAGTGTCGATCTACTTCTTGCGTCACATTTGTAAGTAACCTATAAACGTATACCAATACTGATGTTGTTAATAATATATACGTTCAAAATAGCATGTCCTGGCCGAATAACTGATTCATTATTGCCGAGTGCAAACTGTCAAGGCACAAACATGAACTTTGAACATTTGTTGTAAAGGCAGCTACTTGGAAAGAATCTAAAAAAAATCTTATGTCATTTGAGATTTCCTGCGTCGTTTTAAGCAAAGCATTTATGAACATGCATAATAAAAGTGTAGGTCATGCAAAATATATTCTATATCATTTTAGGGCATGGGGACCGTTTCCACCTCAAGTGTAAGTACCCAAACAACAGTTATGTCCTATAATATAAATAAATTATCTCAAAAACGTATGTAATTGACGTAGAGGTATAGAGGTTATGACGGTGACTAATTGTTGCTAAAGACAAAAAAAATTTAAGAAGTGATGGCATAAGTTTGCTTCACCAGTTTATACAGATTATTCAGTAAATAGTACGACAAACTGTAAGCTGTGTTAGCTACCTAAACAACCCAATATTATATTCAGCAAAATCTGGTCTGAAATGTATACCGCATTTATCTTCTATCTTCTATAATATCAAAAATTCGCTATCTGAAGATAGATCTTTTAGCATATCTCAGAGTAAAATTTATTAATAACGTTTTTACATGAAATTATTCATGGGCATTTCCTCTATTCATTCGTAGTTTCTTTATTAGATACAAGAAAGTGTTAAGGAATAACGACATTTTGTGTCAATTTACGTACAAAAAAAAATATTCGGCATTTTAGCACAGACACTTGTTTCGTGGTGATTTGAAAATGGTATAATAATAGTAGATTCTCGTTATATAAATTAGACAAAAAAGCTATGTTAGTCGCAGAGTATACGTGACTTACGTATTTTTATCAAATGTCACTTGGAGACTAATTACTAAAAGAAGAGAATAAGAAACTATGTATCTGAAACATTGTTTTCCACTAGATACTAAATATATGGCTTTACATGATACAGTTTGTAGGAGTTTCTTAAAATTTAAACGAGGTTGGTAAAAATGGGCATTAATGAAAATAGAGGGCAAGAGCCCTCGGTATGATACATAAGAGCCCTCTATTTTCAGACCTTTTTATAATTTGAAATGATTAGCCCTGGTTTTCTCTCGATGTTTTCCTTCAACGCATATCATTGGTATCCATATAATCTTAAGAAAGTACGACGTAAAACGTCGTAAATTTACGGACCTCAATTACCTAACTCAAAATCTTGTTTTATACGACCATTAGCGTCCAGCGCCTCCCCACGGACACCAGAGACAATCGGGTCCACTGCAACTACAACTACAGGCGAGCTGAGCTCACCTACCCTCTCCTCTTCTGGTGGATTATTTTTATTTTTAATATTTTACTAACTCCCCGCCCCGGCTTCGCACGGGTGCAATATGCACATATCATACATATAATTCTTTTACGTAGTTATTAAAAAAAACCGCATCAAAATCCGTTGCGTAGTTTTAAAGATCTAAGCATACATAGGAACTGACAGACGTCGGAGAGTGACTTTGTTTTTTACTATGTAATGATAACTCCATACAATTCCCACGATATGAGGGAAATATTCGGTTCACTTAGGCGGTGCCCCCTATATCTGGGTAAGTGTATATATGTGTTACCCAACTAGAAGGTCCAACGGTTCCCCAGCTGGGGGTGCGCAAACGACTGACACTATTCCTCGTTCATGCATACCCTCGCTGCGCACCAGAACTTGTTATTGGAGGAGTTTTTTATAGAGGTTATCTTCTTCGCGGTCCAGGCGACCAAGTCAAGACCCTCGTGCCGATCCGAGCCGTGGAACCATAAAATCTTCCCGGATTACAATTTCGGCGACTGCAGTCAAGGGACAACTTGTATTCCGATCCTACTCGTTGGCAGGATGAGTGCCCAACAAGTACCGCCTTCGCCCCTCCGCCAAGTTCTCTAAGATCAGAGAGATGAGTGGAGAAACGATAAACTATGAATTTCAGAAACTTTTCAGAAACTCGTTGAAGTCATTCAACACGATATTTCGGAGACCACTGTGTTCATCTACTGATCTACTTTTGGTGCATTATACAGACTTCGATGCTCGTTAGAGGGTTTGAAATCACTGGTCTATTTTCGAAATTGTATTTAAAACTTTGAATATACTTATTATAAAGATGTTTGGAGAGCTTCGATAAGATTAATTTCCAAGGTCGGGTTTAAATTTTAGCGCAAAGGTACTTGATCTGCTAGGGAAACAAAGTATATTAAAATACGTAAAAATACAGGGTGCTTACTCTTGAAACCAATCTCAATGTCAATACCAATTTAATCCAATAAAATCTCAATAATTATTCAATGTCAACTCTATACAACCCCTATCGTAGCTGTTAAAATAGCATTCAGAGTACGAAATATAAAGCCAAACTCAATACCATTTAGTTCATTCAATATCCGCGCAATACGGATGCGATGGGCGCTAGTGTTGCAACCCAAGAGTACGAATTTTCACAATACCAATGTCGATTGATCGTAAGTGGTTTCAAGAGTAAGCCCCCTGGTTGTCAGCTGGAAGTAAATTACCGGTCAAATCACAAATGATAAACTTGCCCCTGGATTTTAAAAGTGGGCATAAAGTTTCCCTCACTTATTTCTTTGGCACCAAATGAAGTCATCTGAAAAAAATTATTATATTGTCTAGAGTTGAAAAGGTTTGAGGGCGGATGTAAGCCTGATATCAGTTCTTTTAAAATTGATTTTGGTTCCGGAATTTTAGGTATACTCTACATCCGCGTCCATCCACGATCGTCTTCGCGATCCGAGCAATCCTAAAAGTTCCTTGCCTGCCTGAGTTGCTGGGGCTGCTGGGAGATCGCCATATAGGCACCGAAAACCGGAATTACGGAATTCTGTGAGTTTATCTCTGTTATTTTTAACTTCTGCTTTTTCCATTTCTATAAATAATTTTACGCCTAAGTAAACAGTAGGGATAAGAAATTGGGTATTTTCAGGGTGTATTCGATCTAGAGGTGTTTAATTTACGTTGCGAGCTATTCATTTGATACCTGCCTAAAGCAAGCAGCGTAAATTGTGCTACCGTCAGTCTAGGGGAAATCATTGAACTGACATATTTTGGATTCCATAGGTTCGAAACCGGGTCGTGTACTTTGTTATCTGATTAAAACATGACGGCTTTTCATCTATGCTGCCGTGATTTAAAATAACCGATCATGTCACTTAATGCACGGTTACTAAAAATAATCCTGACAAATCGAATGTCCATTTTAAAGCGTCTATTTATCATTCGACTGCTCATCGTCTAATGGTGACAAGCTTAGACTTATTTACTTGGTCAGTAGTTAACTGGATTTGGTTTCGGTATTTTGTTTCTGGCATTTATGCCATATAACCGCAATACTCAAGATTATCTACAGTATCTCTAAAACCTCGATCTAATATAAAATGTCTTCATTTATAATTTGGGCATCACAGATTGTTGCAGCATATGGTTCACCTGCCGCAATTATGGTCCCATCGCAACACATATTTTAAAAGGCTTTAAAAGATTTCGATTTCGAAACCTATGCATTACTTTCTCTAGAAATAGTAATCTACATCTACAGTAGATGTACATATAAATGCCATCAAGAATCGAGATTGCCTTTAACCTATAAGGCGAATAAATCATATTAATATATCATGCAGGCGGCATGCAAGATCCCCTCTTATGTACGAAAGAAGGGCTCCTCCAGAATTTTCCATTTATCCCTATCTTTGGCAATTGTCTTCCACTTTTCACCAACTATTTTTTTAATGTCGTTATCCTAACGAGTTATATGTCTACCTTTGGGACCCCGCCATAATGTCAGTCTGTATGTCCAACGGTAATCACTAACACCAAGCTACCTGGCCAGCCCAACGCCACTTTAACTTTTGTGAGAGTTTAGGACTTCTTAGTTTAGTTTATTTTTTTCTCGTATGCTATAATGTGGGATTTTATACCGCTGTATTTAGTATAATGCTTCTTGCCATACTTCTTTGGCAGGTTCTAATTTTATTTCTTAAACGTAAGATATATTTCCAAGTTTAACAACAGTAGGTGATAGAGGGGAGCAGGCCATCCATTAGATTTTCTTTAAATTCATAGGCGTTCTCGATTCTATGAATATTTCTTTAAGGCTCCAGATATTTTTCCATGCGTCTAAGATTCTTCTTTCAACTTCCAGATCATTGCTTTGTTTTTCGAAGAATACTTGTTTGCCTAGATAAATGTAACTGATTACGTATTCTTATGGTTTTGATCGAGATATACCGGTTGTTTTTTGCTATTGGACATATTTTTTTATTTAGCTCCATTTCTAAACCCACACCGTAGCTCAGTTTTTTTCAGTTAGAATAACATTAATTTCATCTTCTCAGCACTCTCTGATAGATAAATATTGTCGGCAAATCTATGAATTTGCCAACAATGTTCAACCCTGTTCTATTTGATTCAGCAACCGTTCTCCTACGGCCGATTCGCCACTGGACTGTTCGTCGACAGGACGATTCATTTATTTCCGCCTCCCCAACAGGGTCTTTCAACTATGGTGTAATCAGTCTGTAGAAAAATAGTTACTGCATCTTTCTATTCCAGTATAGTTTACTGAAGACCATCTCTAGTACTGCTATAAAATGTTTTGGAGATAGTGGATCACCTTGTTTAACACCTCTCTTTATGGTTTTCCGTGGACCTGCCGTATCAAGTTTCACTCTACTTGTACAACTCTACTTGTAAATTAATGTACAAATATTCGGTGACTTTGATATATTTGTGTTCAACGTTTTGTGATTGCAAGGCGGTTCAAATGTAAGAGTGTCGGATTGTGTCAAAAGCTTTCTGGTAATCAATGAACACTGTGTTAAGTAGTTTCTGATATTCACTATATTTATCGATTATTTGTCTAATCTTTGATGAAGTCCACTAAGTCCCAGACAAACGACACCACAAAATAGTGGATCTACCAACATCAAATAGTATAAACCCAATAATAACAAGCATTAAATAGTACAACACCAATAATAACAACGTCGCATGTCAAGAATATCAGAGATTCCGAGATCTGTAGTACATCGTAATGTGAAGCGGAATAGAATCCACCCCTATCATATAAAACGTGTGCAAGAACTAGACTCCTGCATGTTACATGGTACATGGGAGTGCCAGTTCAAAACCAGATCCGGGTTCTAAGATTTATTTAAATATCAGATACTGGCAGTGACGTACGGTGAATGAAAACATCGTGAGGAAATATGGATTTATAAATTTTAGTTCCAAGTTTAAAACCGCCAACCCGCCTTGAGCAAGCGTGGTGGACCGTAACTTTAGTGACGCCATCTTTTTGCATTTATAAACTTAATTATAACCAATTTACATCTCTACGACATAAATGAACTTGTGGAACAATACTCAAATTCATTTTATTAAATTACTGCATAGGTATTTTCTCGATCTAGTTATTCAAATTATTTTAAATATGCTGAAGATAAAACTAAAGCACACCCATTTGATGAATAGGAATTGAGGTTTAATCACGCCTTTTTTTAGTGTTTAGGTCATGCATGTTTTGCAAACGTAAGTATCATTATTTTAATTAAAATTCTGTATTGTAATCAAGGACATTATGTTAGAATAAATATTCAGGTAACTAATAAAATTAGGTACAATAATGTTCCAGTGTACAGGTGAAGGTTGCATATCGCTGGTAAGTCGAGACTTTGTAGTAACATGTAGTTTGTTAGCATTAAATACCTAAAAAACTATACATCACTAATAAGAAGTGAAAAAGCATGTATTTTAGTTGTTTCTTTCGGCGTAATACTATAGGGAACGAAAATATTTTCCGGAGCACCAGTAATCAACTAAACTTAAAAGTGCTTTTAAAGTATGGACTTCAACGCTTCTGTTAGGTAATATTTGTTGTGTTGTTGAAATCATATTTTTTATACTAACACTAAAAATATCGCTTTAGAAAATTTAAAGTAATTAGAATATTTTTTTAATTAGTGTGAAGGTACGGGCTGTGCAGCTGAGGTAAATAAAATCTCCTAACACTAGCTATTTAAGAGCCATCAACGTTTTCGTGATATTATTCATGAGTTATATGTTAATGAGTTAGACTATTATATAGGTAAAATAATATTGATTGAATGTAAGATTGTTGTTTGCATGTAAATTACATTTCCTTAAACCTTCTTGTCATTTGATGTCTTAGTGAACTGTAGTACCAAACTGCCTTCTAGGTAACTCCTAGGATTTAGTAGTACCCTAAAATGAATTGTAGAACGAATCTGGCAATTTGAAATCAAAATGAAAAACTACGAGCCATGATTTCAGGCAATGGCCAAGCCGATCAATTTGTTTAAAACATGAAAGAGGTTTTCATTTTTATAAGTGGAGGAGAGCCATGCTTCGACACGAATAGGCCGGCTTGACCGAACCGATACCACGGCCTTAAAAAACTGACGTGAAACAACGGTTGCGTTGTGTTTCGTGAGTGAGGTTACGTCCCCTGTCTCCCCAATCCCCGACTCTCCCACAATCCTCAAATTCCCAACTCCCAAAATGCCGGTAACGCACTTGTAACATCTTTGGTGTTCCAGTTATTCATGGGCGGTCCGACAGCTTACCATCAGGCAACCCATTTGCCCGTTTACCGGCTTATCCCTTAAAAAAAATGATATGATTTTGACACTAATACAACTTGAGGTTCTAACATAAAGCATTTATGTTCTCCTTTTGTCCCCCGTGTCCAAGTCTCTGTCGAGTAAAGAAAGATTGAAAATACCAGCGTTCGCATAAGTCTCACCTTGGTGGTTTTGAGGATGTTGCGATTCCCCCAAACTCTCTTCAGCTTCTCTACTGCAGTTTTGGCCATAGCCATACGACCATTTACTTCATCCACGCAACCATATGTTTGGATATGAAGGCCCCAAGGTACATATACATAGTGGTTCAATTACCACATCGCAGTTCGCAACATAAGTATCTAATAAGTTGGCATAACTTCCGGCGAGTTGTCATTGACGCGGACGGAAACTATAGCGAAATCAATATTATGGAAAAAATTAAGATAATTTGCAACCTATTATAACGGAAAAAAACTTGCAATCAAAAGTACGTAAATTGCAAGAAATACAGCACATAAAAAGGGAAAAGAAAATAAACAATATTTGGTGTAGAAGAGAGAGAGAAATTTCATTTAATCAACTATTTAATAAAACAAAGATCACGTTTAAGCAATATTTAGATATTGCTATAGAAAATTGTAGCATAAATAAAATATATCGCATCGGAAAAAGACAAAGAAGAGATAGAAGACAAACAAGGCTAGTCCTTATGTAAGCTAGCCGAAGTTGATGCAAATCTTCTACGTCTTCCGAATCTCCCTCGCCTCGACTGATGAAGGTGTTTCCTGTTGCTGTTCGCAGATGCGCCGCAATGTTGTTGATATCGCAACGACCTTGGGGCTGCCAATCACCTATACGCAGAAATGTCATTTACGTCGGATCTGCCCAATATCCGACGTAAATGGGTTTTCTGCCTACATTTGCCATAGATCGGTACTACATGCTTCACTTTGATGATTTAAAGCTCCACTATCAGTTTTGATATATATATATATATATATATATTATTACATATATTAAAATCTATTCACTCTCATTTCGCCTTCTTTGTCGGAAACGATATCTCTAGGCCATGAATGATGACTTCGCATGCAAATGCAAATGGTCAGTTACTATCTTCACCACCATTGCATACGACCTTTTACTGGGTTTGTCTGGACTAGTTAAATTTCTTAACCGTTCGTCCTTTTCATTACTAATTGCCTCAATTAATGTGGGCAACCAAAGTTCTTTTTTTTATTAGAGAATAATCATTTTGACTATCGTCACTATTGTCCCTTGTGGTTTACAAGCAGGAGAATAAAAATTCATCCAAGGATATATCTTGTCTGCGAGTAATCACACTTTCAATTCTGTAAGACCCTTGGCATTTAGATTCTAATTTTTTAGATTTTCCCGAACCTCCTACTATATTCCTGACCACACTTACTAAATCACCAACTTTATATTCCATTGCCCCTTTACGATGTCTATCAAACCATATAACAACCCTAATAAATTTGCACATTTTTTGGGACTAGAACGATGACTAAATCCTTTGGAAAGTCTCCTCAAAACCGAAATGACCCACATCATCGTGGTTGGCTTTGAGAACTTGCCAACACCCTCCCCTTGGAACTAACCATCTCAACTCTTCATTCTTAATCATACGGAAAACTCATCCATTTTTCACTCGATATTCCCGGTGAATTGCAGCAATTTTAACAATTTCTGGATCCAGTCTTAGTATAATGTCTTTAATGCATTTGATTTCGTCGTCTGCCGATTGAACGGTTGCGATCCAATCGTCAACTTTAACTGGTAGTATATCTAGTATGTGACTGACTTCCTGCTCCTTAAGTGTAGCTTTTACCCGGACGATACCCGGAGAAATTGAATCTCACAATTATACTCTAAAAATTGTATCCACCATCACGAAATGCGGGGTACTAAGTCCCGTTTCGTGAAGGTGGATCTCAAGGCATTGTAATCTGATACTATAGTGAATTAATATCTAAGAGGTAAGTCCGAAACTTGTTAATAATTGTTTCAAGTTCAAGGGAGTGCAACTTCTGGAGTGTAGTCAGAACGAGTTTGAAGACTATAATGCGATACAGGTATCCATGGATCAGTGGCAGTTCTTTGCAGTAATAGCGCCCAGCCCCAGTTTGCTCGCTTGCTGGTCGATCTATAAGTACTCCCTTGAGTTTATCGAAGGCATCTTGTTGTTATTTAAACCATTTCCAACAATATTCTTTCCTAAGTAGATCTCTCAATGGCCTAGCTACAAGAGCAAAACCTCGTACAAATCTACGAAACAACTCAGCTAGTCCAAGGAACCGTCTGACATCGGTCTGGTTTCGCAAAATGGGGAAATTCGATACCGCCTCGATTTTATGGTTAGTAGGGCATGCGCCCTGAGATGCGCAGGTCCAGGTTGGGCGATACATAAAGTATTTAGGCCTGACCTTGGATGGTCGGTGGGGCTTCGAAGAACATTTCGAACGCCTGGTCCCTCGAGTTGAGAAGGCTGTAGGTGCTCTGCACAGACTGCTGCCTAATATTGGGGGACCTCGAGAAGAAGTTCGCCGCCTCTATGCGGGTGTCGTGCGATCGATGGTCCTTTATGGGGCGCCTGTTTGGTCAGCCCGACTGTCAGGCGCCCGACGCTGTAGAGCGAAAATTTATCGTTTGCAGCGGAAAATGGCCATCCGCATCGCACGAGGATACCGTACGGTGTCTTTTGAGGCGGCAACTCTCCTGGCTCGCTTTCCGCCATTGGATATCCTGGCGGATATGGATGCGAAAGTTTACGAACAAATTCGTGCTGTCCGCCAAAATGGCGGTAGAGTGCCAGGAGTGGCGTTCGTTAGGCTGAGGCGGCAGGAAAGGCGACACGCGCTTGAACGGTGGCGTGAGCGGCTACAA